ACTGGTCTTCTGACAGCTCCTAAAGCATTCTTTTCTGCCTCACCTTCTCTGCAGATTTAGTTTACCCTATACTTCCTCCTAGTTCTTCTACTTGACTTTCTTCTGTTTATACACCTCAAACAAAGTAACATTCATTCATTCATTTTTGCAGCACCAGACACCTTGCTCATTTCCAACTTGGCACACGATGGAGTATGGGTATTTGTCCCTACAATATCCAGTATTTTCTTACTGAAAGAACTCTAGGGTTTTTTAAATTCAAATCACAGTATGCCTAATTAAAATTTACATATCTGAGCCTAACCCGAAGCTAGGTCTAAATATCTGTCACAGTATATGTTCAACGAGACACAAGCAAAAATTTCCTAGAAATGTAAGAAAAATGTTTGTTTCCTTTAGAGACACTTTGCTTTCCTTCTTTTTCATGCTTGGAATACAGATTTGATGACTTGGTCAGCAACAGTCACTTTGTGATCATTTGAGAAGGGCCAAGAGAATTTCAGCAATTTCTGCTTAGCACCCTTAAATCGTTGCATCAACATCAGCAATTGGAGTGGTTCATTGCAGTCTTTACAATTGATTTCTCAGTATATTAGAAACCAAAATACTAAGTTAAAGCTTATTTAAGTTTTGTCACTTGTAGCTGGGTACAATCCTTATATAAATAAATGCTTTAAATTGTCTTATTCTTATACTCAAATTCTAAGTTTCTTTACAGACTAGTTCAAGTTTTATCTCCAAAAGTACCAACTGATGTTGGTTATCATGAAATTCTATTATCTACCATATTCTTCTAAATTTTTATTCTTTACAATAGGCATTGAGAATTTATACTATCTGGTACTACATTGATCTCTCTTTAAAAAATTAATCAGTATATTGTTTCTGATTTAGAACTCATCAAAATCATCACTGTTGGTGGTCTAGGCCTAGGTGGTATTTCAGCATCAATTGGGGGTCATTCTATGGACTGAAAACATAAGCTTAGGTCTTTACAAAGGACTTTACCTACTGTATGTCATATAGGAATATTAACTCTCATCACCTTATTTAAATTATACATAATTAATGGATCTGTGTCTATTTTGAGACAAAATAAATTAATTTCTTCTGGTAACCACTGTGATTTTTTTTCCTCATTTTCTCAGTAGAATTCTTTGTGTGGGAATTTTACTACCAGTTTTAGTCATGAGTTAAAAGCCTGAGAACTATGATTATGCATTAAAAAAATTAAAACATGGTTTTAACAGAAAACTCCATTCACTCAATTTTCTGGATGCAACTATGAAATGGAATGAATTATAATGAAAATGCAAGGATGTAAATATACAAGTATTTTAAATTGACAACCTGTAGTCCTCCAAAGAGAAACAAATTTATTAGAATAAAAGACACAACTCTCAGCCTGCTTAGGCAGAACAAACAGGACAGCCTCCAAATATAGTTGCTTTGGGATAGCCACTTCCATAGAACTGTGATCATCAAAAGCAGTTGCATCAACATTCTCTTACTATTAAAACCAAAGCATTTATTTGGCTGGTTTGCTTCCTGCCCTTCTACTATGCCCTCTCCAACTAAAACTGTGTTTCATGCATTTGCACTGGCATTTGCATACCATTGTTAGTAAGTTCTTCTAGATTTCCATTACATGGAAAATACTGTGAGATTAAAATAATTATAGCTTTGCCTGGCAGTCATTTGTTCATATATCTGGGCTCTTACTAACGATATGGTACAATTAGAGTAACAGCATTTATTGCTTACTTTTATTACTCATGCACCACACTAACAGTTACATAACATAGAAAGGGGAAGGAGAATAGTAAAAACAAATTAATGAATGTGTTGACTGAGCAATGTACCTACTGATATTAGCAGGTTCATTCCCTGATAAAAGAGGTCTATAAAGTAGCTAACATTAAAAAAAAAAATTCTTCTATGCTGTAGCTTGTTGAATTATTTATCAAGAGTAAAAAAAGGAAATGAGCAGTTTTACAATAACATAAATGGAAATAATTTAAAAGTAGGAAATGATGACTTACAACACTAGAGGAAGAACTTCCATAATCCTTTAAAAAAAATCAGCAATCACTTTTAATTCATCATCCATTTCTTTGCCAACAACACAATCATTTTTTTAATTTAAAAAAATACATAGCATTTTACTTTATTTCAATTTATTTTCAGTATGAAGACTTAGGCAAACAAAGACTTTCTTGCAGCTTCACTAACCTGCTTTCAACTCTCTTATGAGACAAATTTAAATAATAAAGAGAATGCAAAATAATATGGCTGGAATTTCTAAATGGCATTAATTTCATGCTTATATCCTACTCTCTTTTGCTGTTCCTTAGAATTTTTTCCACAGCTCAAACCACAAAGTTTACTCGTTATAAATTATAGTTTAAGTACAAGCACTGACCTGGAAATGTAATTTACTTTGCTGAAACTGGAAAACCAAATCTTCCCAAATACTATCAACTAGTGTACTATTTGAACCAGTTGCTCAATAAAATATGCCCTTCTAGCTCTGCTTTGTCCTTTACCATCCTCTCTAAAATTCTACAGGCTCCTTTATGTCAGAGAGAGGCATCACCCACAATTCATTTTTATTTCTGAATTGCATGTAACTTCTAAACTCAGAGATGAGAGAAAATATACTTTATTCAACTTTCTCCAACCCTTATATTGCTCAGGATGAACAATTCTGATATTAGGGATATCCTCACAATGTCTTTGCCTTTTCAATAAACAGATGCCCAAACCTTTGGTGCTTACAAAACTTACGTTCTTCAGATTATAAATGATATAATTTGTCAAATTAATAAATCAAAGAAATCTATCTCTGGGTCTTGAAGAGTTCTATAGGATTATAGTTTCCAGTGGGGCAATTTTTTGCATCTTTTCCTTTATAGATAAATTGTCAAAAAGGAGGTTAATAATTTCAATTCACTGTTCATTGTGAACTCCAAATATCAATTAATGTGGTAGAAAGGTGGCCTAGTATAATTTAATTATTTTACATTTGAAATATCATACTAAGCTGTTTGTCAACTGTTACTTAATCAGAAGAGTCAAAATAGTAATTAAAAAAGAAATGATCCTCCAATGATTGTATTTTCCAGATGTATGAAAGACACATCTTCAAAAATTAGTCCACTGGCTGAGATAAACAGAATCAAACAACATCTTGTTGTTTTTGGCTTAATATAAATGGACAGCTCACTATTATAAAATAAAACCAGGCATTCTCTTGCATAAGAACCCAGTATCAGAGGAACAAAATTAAGTCAATTCTGCTTTGATGAAACTTAGAAAGTAGCCTCTCTGAGCATGAGCTGACCAAAATTAATTCTATTAAAGTTCAAGCAGTGACACCAAAGTACTTATGGAATAAGAATAAATGAGATTCCCTGTATGTATTCTTTGAAGTATAATATATTTTAGAGTGTGCTGTCCTTCTTCAGGCAGGAGTATGAGTATTCCATGAGTAACTTTAGAGGTATGCCTTTACTGAAAGAGATTTCTTTGCAATGTCATAGTTTTTCTTTCTTATATTTGCTCTGAATCTTTGTGCAACTAAGTAAATACCATAATTTTTTTATGCTTCAAAGAGAAAACCATTTATGTTTTATAACCACAGGTTGCCTCCTAAGCATTTCTACGAAGCTAACTGTATTCAGCTCATAAAATGCCTATTCCCTAAAGACTAATTTTTATTGAAACTTATCTAGAATATCTCCTCCCCAAATCTAGTGCTTTGTTTTATTTGCCAGTTTAATTATTATCATCAATCAGAATGTGGACTGGCTCAACTGCAGGATAGTTCAAAGGGCATTCCATTTCCATCTCTCTCATATACTATGAGGTTCTTACCATTAGATGGAAAATTTATCATAAGTTCTATTATGCCAGGTAAATGAACTTGAGAAAGAAGGCCAACTATTTCAACAAGTCTAATATGATGTGTAAGAGAAAGCAATTAGTCCATAACATACTGTGTTCACTTATTACACACAGACGGGAGAAAGTAATTTCTCTTCTTCATGAAGAATCCAGCTGAAAGTTAATCTCTCCTTCACTAAGTTTCTTTAGTGCTTTGTATATTCCTTACAGGGATTTCTCTCTGAAGTACAGTGATTTCTATGCTTGTCTTATTTTTTCCTTCTATACTATAAGCAGGTTATACTACGCCTTAACATCAGTGAATGGCCCCAAAGTATCACAGTATTATTTATATTTTGTTTAATATCCAGTACTAGAAGATAGAACAAAATTCAATAGTGACACTACCAATATCAGTCTCATCAATATTATGCATTAGACATAAATAGGCTTGTGTGGCTTGGTCCAGAATCATATCAACATTTAGGAAACATAGGAAACTGTTTTGAGTTCCAAAAACCTAATTTACAAAATCACTGTCAGAACATAGCAGGGACTTCTTTATTGCATAATGATTAAAAAGGTCCCCTGGTGGGGGAGAAGGGGGAGAGAAATGACCCAAACATTGTATGTACATATGAATAAAAAAAAAAAAAGGCCCCCTGACAGCAAGTCTGTAGAGCAGCCAGTTTTGTACATAAGAAAGAGCTACTTTAAAAAAAAAAATTATTAAAAATAATATTTTGTGAAAACAGTGGAGAAAATGTTTCAAAAATAATGCCATGGATACACACATGTCTGACTAAACATTTTATTATTTATTTATTTGCAGTACCGGGGTTTGAATTCAGGGCTTGAGTTCATTACAGTTTGAGCCATTCTACCAGCCCTTTTTTTGTAATGGGTTTTTTTGAGATACGGTCTCATGAACTATTTGCCTAGTCTGGCTTCAACCATGATCCTCCTGATCTCTGCCTCCTGAGTAGCTAGGATTTACAGGCGTGAGCCATCAGGCCCTGCCCACTTAAACATTTTAAATGGCTTTCCATTAATTCAGAGATTCTTGGTTAAGCAAAGAAATCTCATATTGTTCATAAACCAAAAATTCAACTTACCATTTATGTTTATTGCTGGTAATACAATTGACATTTTTGGTCTTGTGGTCTTGTTGTGGGTGGTAGCTGGTAACAGTAGATGATCCTAAAATTAACAAAAAACAATGTTACATATAAAAATTGGCTTAGTCCTAGAACAGGCCAAATTTAGGGCTTCTAAGAAGCCAACATTTCATTAGGACCATGGAAATCAAAGTTTTTATTTGAACTTGGCTTTGAGGTAATTGGCTACAAATCATCAGGTGATCACTTACTCATTAATGCAATAACTTTACTGGTTGTCTGTCTAACATGACTAGGTAATATGCAGTGTTGTTCAAATACTCCTGGGTTCTGATAACAAATATGCTGCAGTATACTATAAAGAATATTGGTCAAGCAGTCAGAACAAGAGATTTTAATTCTAATTCTGCCACTAAAATAGCTATATGATCTGGACAAGACTGCATATCTTTTCTGGCCTCAGTTTCCAGTTCTATAAAATGATGGGGGCTAGACTAGATAATATTATAAGATACTGAAGTAACTACCACCTAAACATGTCATTTTCAAACTGTGTTTAAAAGGAAAAACATTTTTTTCCTCCCAAATTCTCCCAAATTATCAATATGTAAAAGAGAGATTCTGATTAAAGTAGGGCCTGGGCCTACAAGTTTTCCTAATCAATCTCTTCCTTTGAGGTGGCCACAGCATTACTTGTGACAGGTACATGCTGAAGAAGCATGAAGCTCTTGCCCTTAAAAAGTGGTTTAGGCCATCATCATACTTAATGGAGAAAAACTGAAACCATTTCCCCTAAATCAGGAATGAGACAAGGGTGCCCACTATCTCCACTCCTATTCAATATAATCCTGGAATTCCTAGCCAGAGCAATTAGGCAAAAAGAAGAAATAAAAGAATACAAATACGTAAAGAAACTGTCGAAATATTCCTAATTGCATACAATATGATCCTATACCCTTAAAGACAAAAAACTCTACCCCAAAACTCCTAGACACCATAAATAGCTACAGCAAGGGGCAGGATACAAAATCAACTTACAGAAGTCATTAGTGGGGGTGGGGGCAGGGGGGAGAAATGACCCAAGCCTTGTATGCACATATGAATAATAAAACAATAAAAAAAAGAAATCATTAGTTTTTCTATGCACCAATAATGAACAAACTGAGAAAGAATATGTGGAAACAATTCCATTTACAATAGCCTCAAAGAAAATCAAACACCTAGGAGTAAACTTTAACAAAGGATGTGAATGACCTCTACAAGGAGAACTAAAAACCCCTGAAGAAAGGGATTGAGGAAAACTACAGAGGTAGAAAGATCTCCCGAGCTCATGGATTGGTACAATCAACATAGTAAAAATGGCTATACTACCAAAAGTAATCTACATGTTTAATGCAATTCCCATCAAAATCCCAATGACATTCATCAAAGAGATTGAAAATCTACCCTAAAATTCATTTGGAAACACAAGAGACTGCGAATAGCCAAGGCAATACTCAGCAAAAAAGAGCAATGCCAGAGGTATCACAATACCCAACTTCAAACTATATTACAAAGCAATAGCAATAAAAACAGCATGGTACTTGGCACAAAAACAGACATGAAGACCAGTGGAACAGAATAGAGGACCCAAATATGAAGCCACACAACTATAACCAACTTATCTTTGACAAAGGCACTAAAAATACATGATGGAGAAAAAACAGCCTCTTTAACAAATGTTGGTGGGAAAAGTGTTTATCAGTCTGCAAAAAAAACAGAAACTAGATCCATGTTTATCACCCTGTAATAATATCAACTCAAAAGGGATCAAGGACCTTAATATCAGACCCGAAACTCTGAAGTCGGTACAGGAAAGAGCAGGAAACACTCTGGAAGTAATAGGTGTAGGCGAGGACTTCCTCAATAGAACCCCAGCAGCTCAGCAACTTAGAGAAAGTATGGACAAACGGGACTTCATAAAACTAAAAAGCTTCTGCACAACAAAAGAAATAGTCTCTAAACTGAAGAGACCACCCACAGAGTGGGAGAAAATATTTGCCAGCTACACATCAGACAAAGGACTGATAACCAGAAATACAAGGAACTTAAGAAACTAAACTCTCCCAAAATCAATGAACCAATAAAGAAATGAGCAACTGAACTAAACAGAACTTTCTCAAAAGAAGAAACTCAAATGGCCAAAAAACACATGAAAAAATGCTCAACTGGCCATAAAGGAAATGCAAATCAAAACCACACTAAGATTCCACCTCACCCCTGTTAGAATAGCCATCATCAAAAACACCACTAACAACAGATGATGGCAAGGCTGTGGGGAAAAAGGAACCTTTGTATACTGCTGGTGGGAATGCAATCTAGTGCAGCCATTCTGGAAAAAAATTTGGAGGCTTCTTAAAAATCTAAACATAGACCTGCCATATGATCCAGCAAAACATGAAAGTATTTGATGTCCCCACTGCAGAGGAACTAATACAGAAACCTTAAAGCGACAGAGGTCAACATGAGAAGGGGATCAGGAACCAGAGAAAAGATCAGTTAGAGATGAATTAACTTGGGATGTAATACTTTGTATATGGAAGCAATGCTAGGAATCTCTCTGTATAGCTATTCTTATCTCACCTAGCAAAAACGCTTTGTCTTTCTTATTATTGCTTATGTCTTCTCTTCAACAAAATTAGAGATAGGGCAGGTTCTGCCTGGAAGTGAGGGGGGGGGTGGGGGGGAGAAGGAGGGGTTGGTAGGTAGGGGGAAAAATGGCCCAAACAATGAATGTACATGTGAATAAATAAAAAAAGTGGTTTATTATAAGAATTTAAAGAACTATAAATGTATATCTAGCACAATTATACAGTTCTAAAAATAACATAGTCTGCTTTTGATGACACAGAAGTGAATCTGAGTATCTGAGATTTCTCTTCTCCAGCCCACAAGTCAAATGGAGTTTGGCTTTGAAAAAGGGGGGACTATGAGTGTTTTAATAAATGTAAAATAAAAATGTAGTGAGAAAAAAAAGTCTCCTAATCTCTCTTCAGCTACTTTTAGTATGGCCAATCAATCAAGGAGGGATTCAATCAAGGAAGGCTATTAGGTATCAAGCTTTCCCAAGGCAAGCACAAGTTAGCCCAATTTTTCATGTGGTTGGGCTAGAAAACAAGTCATTCTTTGTCAAATGCAAAGTTGTTGCTTTCTCATACACAAAAAGGGAATCAGACAACGCCTGTGAATTGTTGTGGACCAATATATCTCAAGTGTGAAGCTTTATTTGATGGAAATGTTAAATATTTGTAAGTCTATAGCTCATTAAATTGATCTATACTATGCTTCAAAAAAAAAGAAAATGTATATATATCTCTATCTATCTATCTATCTATCTATCTATCTATCTATCTATCTGTAAGTATTCTAAAGTTGATCGTAAGTGACTCAGGACTTTGATATTCAAACTACTGTTTGCAATAGCTCCTCTTACTAGCAAAAAAGTAAGAATTGTCACAGAAAAAAAAGAAAGAAAAGGTACGACACTACAGCATTTCCACTTATAGGAGCATGGTTAAACTGAGATAAAATGAACCTAAGCTGAACTGGTTTTGCTTTCTTCTCCTGTTCCTATGTTCACTGTCTCATCATTCATTCAACAAACTTGGTATATGAAAGAACTCAAAATGTAGATGTGATATATCTGAGAGTGGTTAAAAACCCAATCAACTTAGTTTGAAGTCAATGTGACTATGAAACTCAATTATCAACAAAGCTAAGAAAAAAACCTAGGTTGTGAAAGACAAATTAAAATTGATGTGGATGAACAGAACTGTGTAGAAAACGTTTCCAGTAACTACTTGTGCTTTAATTCAAGCCAATATTTCCATAAGAACACTTAAAAAAAAAAAAAAAAGCCAGGGAGGAAGAATGAAGGTTTGTTAGAATTTCAGTATTTTTTTTTAAACTGCATTGTTAGACACAAAGATCACGTGTTTGTGAGAGTAAGATAACAACATATTATAGCCAAGAAAAAACATAATTTGCTGATCTCCTTGTTATGAAAATCATAAATAGCTCAATTCCTATAATTAAAATACTGCTCAGGGTCTCTAAATTGAATGAGTAAACAATCCCAAAATTTGCAAGGTTATTGTAAAAACAAACACACTTAGACATTGCTTTCCTGTGCATGTGTGTTACCTTCCAAATTAATTCTTCTTGAACTAACCTTTTCTCTAGTTCCTGGCTCCCTTCTCCTATTGGCCTCTGTCACTTCATCTCACTCTTTTTAAAATCATTAACCTTATTAGTCACAACTATAGATACAAAGGAGCTTTAGTTAATCAATAAGGAAATGTTTACTGACTTCTTACCATTCATTACTAAGCATATTACCCTGCCATGTATTTAGCACTGTGCTGTGAGAGTATTTCTTTCTTTCTTTCTTTTAGTAACAGAAATCTAGATTTTTATTTTGTTGGAGAAACAAGATGAATTATGACAAACAGACATTTGTCTTCAATATATGCTTTCATTCTTCTATAATTTTAGAAGAGAAAAGAACCTGTGATACTTAATTGGACATGAATCCATCCAGAATAAAGAATGTACTCTCCAGCCTACTTTGCAAGTGAGTGAGCCCATACATTCTAGTAAATGTACTGTAAGAAGTAGTACCTGAAACCTATTCAAGGTGATGGATGGCCACTCTGGTCCTTGCCTTCTGTCCTTCCTGTTAGCTAGATGGTAGATACAACTGCTAGAGCTGGGGAAGCTATCTTGGACCATGAGTTGGAAGCTGCAACTAGAGGATTATGAGATCCTGATGATCAGTGAGCCACAATACATTCTCTGGAACTTACACATGAGAGAGAAATAAAATTCTAATTGGTGTAGGCCACTATTATATTGGATTTTTTAACAAAGCCTAAACCTAAGTCTAATTACTAATTGTAGTACAAATTTATGAATACTACTAAAGGTATTTGGTCAAGAGGAATCTCAAAAAGTGTTAAGATAATCAGAGCCAGCTTTGTTATTTTTATAACAGCATAGAAAAACCAAAATTATTATTTAGCCATCTTTTTTAGGGGGATACTG